CCTGCCTCCAGAACTCGAACTTCACACGCTGCCCACGCGCCGCCTCCTGCCCAGTCCCTCACCTGTCGCCGTGGACAAGGCGCTGGCGGAGCTCGGGGGCTGAGGCGGCGGCGTGAGCGGGGCCTCCCCAGGGCTCGGGCTCCTCAGCCAGCGAGGAGGAGCTGTGGCTGTGGCTGCGGGCTTCCACGCCCGAGTGCTGGGACACCAGGACCTGGGGAGAAGGCCGAGCTCTCAGCCCCGCGGCTCGCCGTGCCCTTCGGTCCCGCCTGCGCCCTCCCCGGCCACCAGCCGCACTCACCCCCAGCTGTGCTCGCAGGAGCACCTGCCCCTGGCCGCCGGCCAGCGCCAGCCAGCGGTCCAGGCAGAGGCGCTCTGCGTCCAGGAGCTCCGAGATGGGCAGCGACAGTGCGCCCAGGGTGCCCGTCCCCTCACCCCGCACCTGTGGGGCAACGGGGCGTGACCAGAGGCGAAGGCACTGACAAGTTATTCTCCCTGGGGCTCCGCGCCGCACTTGCGGAAGCCTGGCGAGATTCCGCTGGGCAAAGCTGTGCTAACAGTGGCTGCGCCCTCTACCTGGGCGCGGGGACCTAACCCAGGCCCCCAGCCAGCCAGGCAGGCGCTCCGCCCGAGCTCCTCAGCCCCCGCTTCTCTTGTCTTTTCTCAGTACTGGGGGCTGAACCACAGCCTTCTCAGGAAGCTACTCTTTTTTGGTTTTGTTTCGGCTTTTTTGTGTTCCCTTTTTGTTTTGAGAAAGGGTCTTACTGTGTAGCCCAGGCTGGCCTCAAACTCAACAGTGATCCTCCTGCGTCAGCCTCCCAAGCGCTGGGATTACAGGCATGCGCTACCATGCCCGGCAACCTCTTCACCCTGCCTCTTGTTATGGGGAATTGAACTCAGGGCCGTATCACTGAGCTATGCCTCCAGCCCTTTATCATTTTTTGAGACAGGGTGCTTGCTAAATTATGAATGCTGGGCTTGAACTTGGGATCCTCTTGCCTCAGCCTCCCAGAGTGCTGGGATTATGGGCCTGCACCACCACGCCCAGCTCCTCTTTCTGTGTACCCATGACCCACTGAAATCTAGTTTCTAGTGCAGCCAGGCCACTGAAGTTACCCCAATAATCAACGATCTCTTAACTTTCCAAAGTCAATAGTTTTCATTCCTTTTATTTCATCTCTTGACATATTTGGCCACTTTCTCTCTTTTGTTTTTTGTCTTCTGTTTATTTTCTGGGACAAAGTCTCACTATGCAGCCCGGGCTGTCCTTGAACTTGGAATCTTCCTGCCTCAGCTTCTTGACTGCTGGGATTACAGGCATGTGCCACCACGCCCAGCTTGTCTCTCTAATCAATAGTGAATTTGCCTTTTCTATTTTCCACTCTTTTTTCAACCTGAAGCGTTCTCTGGCCCTTTTCCTGGTCAGGGCCTGTCTGCTCCAAAGACGCCTTTCTTATGCCTCCACCTCTTCCCCAGCCCGTTAGGCCCGCCCTTCTTTCTCCATGGTGCCTTTTCCCCCCGAAATCTTTCTAAAGTATTTCCTGGTTGTTTTTCTCAAGAAGCAGAGAAAAGCTCCTCAGGGATTCAGCCTCCTGAGTGCATGAATTACAGGCTTGCGCCACCGAGCTCAGCAAGAACTGGGTCCTGCGGCTCTGACTGCCCCGCACCTGGTTCAGTGCCTGACCCCCAGGGGGAGTCTGCTCAGGGTGGTGGGGTTGTCCCCCATACCTGCAGCTCCAGGCTCTCGGTGTGTGGCTTCCTGATGAGAAAGGAGGTGCTCTCGTCCCAGATGGGGGCTGAGGACTGCGAAACAGTCTGGAGGGGATGAGAGGTTGTGATTAGTAACCTTTCCTCCTATTTTTGGTTTTTTTCATTGACAAGGCTGGGCTTGAACTTACAATCCTCCTGCCTCAGCCTCCTTCCCAGAATGCTAGGATTACAGAATCGGCCTGTGCCACCATGCCGGGCATTCCTTCTCCCATTCTTTTCATTTCTTTCTTTGTTTTGAGGCAGGGTCTCACTACACAGCTCAGGCTGGCCTTGAACTCACTGTGCAGCTACCATGCCCGCCTTCCCTCCCATTCTTAACTCTGTGACATTTCGGATACCTTAGTTTTATGAGTTGTCTCCCCCACAGTAAGAGTAGCATATGCGCTGGGAGGCTTGGCGCCTTTTCGGAGCTGGAAAGAAAATACTGTTAGTGGTTTTTTTTTTTTTTT